AAGCACAATATTCCAGTGCTAAAATATTAATGCCAACAAACACCATTCATTCATGATAACGAGCAATGCTTTTTTATCTGAGACACGTTAACCATAACAGTAATAATTCAGACACCATTCACATAACTGAAGATTCCATCGTTCCCTCATTATTTGGCTGTTTTATCTTAAAAGGAACATAGCTGAATGTCTCTCTCAGCGTAAAATAGGTAGAACAGAGACCTGTGTGATTAAAAACGGTGACAACCACATTAGAGACTTCAGTGAGAGTGATTTCTGGGGAAAATGAGTTCTGTATAGTTATGTTAGCTTTATGCTGCTTGTGCAATCCCCAGGTACTCTTAAGGCAGAGCAGGTTGGCTGTTGGCAATATAAGAACATGATGCATGTGCCATCTTTCTGGCTTTCATGTAGGCAGCTGTACACATCAAATCACTTGTTTTTAATGTCATTTCTGTTTACCTACAACACATGACATGTACTTATTCTTGAGAACAACTACAGATACACTGATGTTATTTATATATGATACTAATAAAATAATTACTAAGCTAATACTACTAATAACTAATGTTTGTTGATGTACAGATCCAACCTGCCAGGTATGGGCTTAGCAGAGCGTTATGTCCATAAAGGAGCTAGTTAGCATAGATTAACAAACATGCTCCTTGTACACAATATTTGCACATTTTATGCTCTTAGTATTCCTTAAATACCAGCATCTTTTATGTCCTGTTGCCAGCTACAAGCTGTAAATCCTGTGTGGTGTAAAATAGACAAGGGAAAAAAAATAAGGTTGAAGTCTGTGAGTAAACAGTTGAAGCCTATAGCCTTTAGATTGGCTGTTTAGGTATGAGAATCAAGAACTAACATGAATAATTTGGCAGCCTTTATATATTTCTAGAACTTTCATTTGGTTTCTCATCATTGGCAAAATAAAGAAAAAAGCAAGCAATAAAACTACCATTCCTGTACAGAAAACAATGATGAATGCTGGCAATCCAGCTGGGTAAATAAAGTGATTTGAAATATGGACCAGATACTTGATCGTATTTGCAGAGAATGTGTAGTAGAGCAGTTATGTTATCTCAGTAAATCTGCTTGTATTTGTCAGTGAGGTTTCTGCACAACACTTTGGTCAATCTTGATTTCTGTAGATTTTGTATTAAGGGAGATACCAGCCAGAATGCTTGTCCAATAACACCAGATATGACTACATGAGAACATCTTTAGGCAGTAAGTCTATAATTGATAAGCTCTGATATTAACCACAGAAACTAAAAGTCAGTCTAACTTCAGTATTGGCTGCAAGCAATTCTATATCACTGGTGTGTGCAGTAGAAAAAACAAAGATGGATCTGGTTTTGAATATTCTTATTGGACCTAACAAAGTTGAGTATCTACAGAAATTTTACAGCCCATATTTCTGAATATGGAAGCTACTTTAAGAATACAAAAGCAAAGCGTATGTACTAACCTTCCAAAACCACGTTTAGAATAGATTGTTTCAGTACAACTTCTGTTAAGGCTGGTGAAAGAGCTGAGCTGAGTTCATAGCAGGCTTGGCGCCCTTTGCCAATGTCACGGTTTTTGTTGATGTATCAGCCAAAGGAGATGGGAAGGAGAAAGCATTGATGCTTGCAGGGAGCTCCTCCTACTACATAGGAAAGCCTGGGAACAAAAGCGTGAAAATGTTTCCTTTGAAAACACGTCAACAAAAGTTTTTATCACTGGCTATGAATAAGAAAAACCATTCACACAGGGACGATCAGTGAACATGCATGCCAACTGGAAGAAGCCATGAAGGAGTTACAGTAACAGAGGCATCAGTGACAGAGTAGGAAAATGCTCTGTACAGCAAAAGACTGGCAGGATATGAAGCACAGTACCTTCAATTTGTCAAGGGCTGTGAAAAGATGTTGCAAAGCTGCTAACCAAGCAGAGCCTAGATAGATTTTAGCTGTTTGGATGGCCAGAGACAGCCCTTTGGGATGATGCGTGAGTAAGAATTCTCTAGATTAAGACATAACCTAAATACACAGACCTAAGAAGGAGATCCTGTGACAAAAATGCTCTCTAGTTCGTCTCAGTTTTTAAGCTTGAATAAGAGGCAGGATGATGGTGTTGTCCAGAGCAATTAAAGGAAGAACAAGAAGAGGAGTGCTTTAGGGGTAAGATCTAAGAGCTCAGTTTTAGCTGTGCAGAGCTGTCAGCTAAACATCAGAAGGGTATTCGGAGCTAGAGGTCAACATTTTAGTCTAAACAAAGAAAAAAAACACAGAGAATGCACGATCTCTGAACTGTCAGCACTGAAGTAACCACTGAACGCCCATGGACGGTGTCACAGAAAAGGTGAAAACAAAATGGGGGAAGAAAAGGTTTTCCCAGAAACCAGGGATGGAAGGATTAAGACAGAAGGACATGCAGAAGAAGTGATTTAAGATGTCATGGGAGGATGAGAAAAAGGTGTCGTCATGGGAACCAAAGGAAGCATCAGATTTCCAGGCATGTAATTCAATGTATCAAGACAGCTGGCAGGTCAAAAAGGACGAGAAAAGTTGAGGCAGGGACTAGAGTGCTTCAAGATGTAAGGCAGAAAACAGGATAGAGAAGCAAGCAGAGAGAACCAAAAGTATGCTTATATTGTGTGTATGCGTGGGAGAGAGTGAAGGTAGCCTTCAACTAGTACAGGAAAAGAAAACCATATAGCTAAAGCTGAACGAACTAGTTTTAATATATAGTTTACTCAGGAAAGACAAGATGTGTGATAAAGTACTAACATTCATTATATCAATATGATGTAAAATATACATGCTTTTCTTGAGGTCTGCTCATAAATCAACATATATTGCCCTTTATTTACAAGCTGTTGGTGAAGCAGTCACTAGCTGCTTGAATGTGCGTGATACTTATAAATTCCTTGCTGACAAATTTCTCTGAAGTTTCAGCCTATGGACTATACAGAAATTCAGTGCTACAGCTGCTGTTCATTCATCACATACAAGTGCCTGTCCTTAGCAGAGAGACCTCCAGGGATTCAGAGTGCTTTGCTGATTCAAAAGTTAGTGTTATTTTCTTTGAGTCAGGCTTGAACAAAAGCCCTTTAATATGATAAACTTCACTGCAACATAGAAATACTACTTTTCAGCTATCAGAGTCCTGAACTTAGGCTTTTCACTATCCCAGGAGAAAAAACTGTGTATGAGAATTTAGCAGCAGCCAATCCCTAATCCAAACACATTCAAACTTTGGCACTTGTGCTTACGAAGTTCCAATACAGAAGCCTGGGTTCTGTGGCCAGACATTTTTGTGCTACAGATCCCCATGTAGCAATTTCAGATTTTATCCTATTCGGAAATCTCAGTGGCACCTCTCACTTCAGTTGTTCCCACCCATCAGTCCCTCTGTGGATTATTATGTTTGCTTAATTTGCTTTACTGACCTTTGTTTAAGAGAACTGAGGAAGGACGGGATGCTGTGTGCTCTCCAGGTGTTTGTCTTGCTGCACAGCCAATCTGGACAGGCTCCTCCCTAGGTGGAAGAATTTAATGTTTAAGTCAATTCAAATAATGCCAAAACAATAAGAAGAAACAAAAGGTAAAACAACCTTATCAATAATTATATTAAGCTTTACTTGTCCCAAAAGGAGAAGCAGATAAGTGAAGATCACAAGGTGACATCTCATAATGACCACTGTGGTACTGTTTTTCCTGCATCTGTGACAGAATTATAGGTACTTCTTCATTTAAGAGTAAAATGCAACACGTACTAGAGAAACATTTTGCATTTCCTGAGTATGTGTCAGTTTTGATGTGCATATCTGACTTGTGAAAGTCATTCACCCATCGGCAGGCAGCTGTTCAGCCACTTCCAGGAAAGCAGGGCTCATCACACACAACTAACTTGGGAATGCAAATGGTATACCTCTGTATGTCCTTCCCCCAGCTCTTACTGAGGACCATGATGTCAGAGGGTAAGGGATACCCTGGGGTCAGCTGTGCTGGCTGTGCTCCTCCCAGCACCTTGTGCGCTGCAGACGCTCACTGGCAGGGCAACCTGAGAAACAGAAAAAGCCTTCATGCTGTATAAGCACTGTTCTGTAACAATTGTAACATCATTTTGTTTTCAGCGCTGTTTCGATCACAGAACAGCCAGTAAACCAACAGTGTGCAATCAGAAATTGTACTTCAGAGGAGCCACACCAGCATCAATACCAGGCGAGCTCTAAGCTGAGCTCCTGAGAACTTCAGCTATGTGTTCAGCTAGTATCAGCCTTATGTGTTTTCACTGCAAAGCTGAGTATTTGCAATTCAGTAGTGTCCTCGTGCTGCCAAATGACTTTGGAAGAAGGAAACACATTAGCTCCAACTGTTAGATTAGTTCCTAATATTTGGTTTTCTATGCTTATTTACTGCCTCCATATTACCAAGGTACCCATCTAAAATAGGAAGGATCATTCAAGTTGTGCTACCTTCACTTAAAATAATAAATAATCTAAAAGGTTAGACAACAAAGGTAAGATTTACAATTCTGTAGCAACATTAATGAAATACGCCAGCTCTTTTAGTCCCTGCTATAGTCACATAACACATAAAGGATTGTTATTTTTAAGAATACATCTGTCTGCTCTTTGCTAGTCAGTGTGCATACGCAAAGGAAACCCAGTGACATTTTACTCGCACTCTTGCACCAACGTAAGTGAACAAGGTGCCAAGTGGGGAGAATTAGGTTCTGGCTCAAGATTTATACCCAGACCTCTCTGCACTACAACTTCCTGAATGCACCACAAAGGTCTCAGAATGCTCCAGGTGTCGTTTTGGGGTTTTCTCCTGGAGATTTCCTTCTTCACAATTAATTGTTCCTAAGCCTGGATAATTCATACTGAATAGCTGAGAAATGTGCACGTTCTCCATCAGTAACCTGGAGGAGGTAATAAGACAAAAAGTTAAAAGATACTGTGATCTGCATGGCAATAATCACACTCATTTCCCATCGTTTAGGTCTGTAAGAACTCCTGACATTTGAAGCTGTCCTACCGAGTTGCCATGGCAACGAGAAAAAAGAAAACGTCAGATCTGAAGACTGCAGTTTACAGTTACTGTTCTTCACTACTAGGCCTCAGTTGCTCCAGATTCAGTTTAATTTGCAACCTCACTTAATCTGTCCGACTATACATTGGTGTTTGACAGCCTCTGCCCTAACTTCCATTTATTAATGGATTCCTCTTGCAAGATGCAAGGTTTATGCGAATTTTCACTGAATGTTAAAAGACCATGACATCTAAACTTGACCTTTGGGGAGGAGAAAACAGATTGACTCCATTTTTTTCTAACTGTTGACTTGTTGCTATTCAACTGTTCAGAAAATATTTTGTCTGTGGGTTAGTATTTGTATATGTATGAGTGTATGTATATATATATATATTTATATGGAGAGAAGAGTTATAGGACTGGTTTAGCTTTTATAAAATATTCATCTGGAACGTGCAACTGACAAAGCAGAGTAATACAGCCACAGATGAATCATAACTATTCGACATGGCTAAACCTACTGTACTTGCTTGTTTATAGTGTGGCCAGAAGGAGAGCCTATTGCAGTCATACCACTGAAAAAAGCCACTTTGTTGACACCAAATAAGGCAGGCCCAGGGCTCTGCAGCATCGCTTCTTGTACCTCAGGTTCAGCAAACAGGAAATGCAAGTCCCCCTGGCTTGCTTCTGATCCAAACTTCTCACCTTATGCCCCAAAACTGAATTTAAGACTCAGCAGGAGCACAGCTCTTCATCTCAGTGCCGGGAGGGAACGCGAGCTCAGATTTGTGAGGCAAGGGGAAGCACTCAGTGCAACCGGCACCATATGGCCACCACCTACAGCAATGGGACATGCTGGGCTGATTTTAAAGGGGCTAAAGTCAGTTTCCTCTATGCTCTTGCAGATAATTATTTGCTGGGGCAATTCGGAAAATTTAAGTCCTTTGTCAGTTCTGCAGACAAAGTAAGTATTGTCTGCATATGAGAAGCTGATTATAACAACAAAATCAAGGTGCTTCTCAGAAGCACTGGCCCCTCTCTCAGCCTCTGCACAGCTGTCATTACACGTATCAGTGCAAGGAGGAAAACAGATGCCCTATTATCTAAGTGTATTCACACATATCTACAGTTTTGAATATATATATACATACATACACGTGTACACACAGTTTCCAGTTAAGAGTAACAAGAGCATTTCTTTGTGTGTGTAAACTTACCACACTTGTTTGCAGACATGGGGAAAAAAAGGGTGTTCGTTACATATGACTATGAATCCTTTTTTATTCTGTGAGCATGTAAGGTTTAAAAAAGAAAAAAGAAAAAAACTTAACTGTATCAAGATGATCATCTTGTTAATAAATTGTAAATGATCCATCAAAGCTCACACCAAATTTTTATAAAATTAACACAAAAAAAGTATACTAGTGACAGACTGTGGCTTTTATTAGAGCTTGCCAGTAACTAGGGTAAGGTAAGTGTCTTAGAATATTTTAATAAACTTGCTTATTTAAAGTTTAAACAAGAAAGCTTCCTTATGCAATAGTACTTTGCAGCTGCATTCTTTAGTTAGCATTTTTACAGTACCTATGAGTCATACTGTATGTTGTCTTTACTACAGTGAAATTATGAGCATATCTTCCACACCACCTATCTGTTTCAATAGTAAAGTTTTTTGGAAGCATTAAAAAGTCCAAACATACATTGAGTTTTCCATAACGCTACACTAGATATTAAATGTGTGTTGGTGGTTAAAAATTGCTGTACAATAGCTTTTCTCTGACTTCCTGTATTGTACCAAATATGACAACCGTTTTTTGTTTTCTTTTGTTTTTTTAATCAAAAGTAATAACAACGGCAACAGAGGGAAAAAACCAGTTTGTGTTGTGAACTTCCCTAGCGCTGTAAATTTCCTGGTAAGATACAAGCTGCCTTCACGCAGGAACCAATTCTCTCTTTCAGTGACTCCTGCAGTCCTGCCCAAGTGGAATCTCCCACTGACCTGGCTTCTCTAGCAGCAGCTCTGCATGTTTCACTTAGCAAAGCAATGCTGTAAGGTGAGTGGGAGTTTCTGTGGAGCAAGGGCTCCAGGAGCAGGCACAGCGAGAAGTGCCTGATCTCAGACATGAACATGGGCATGCTTCTAGTTTGCTTTCGTTGCCCAGACCTCATAGTAACCACGGGCTGCTGCTTTGTCATCAGCAATCACGGCTTTTTAGAAATAAAACTTTTATGCAAAGTTTTCAAAAGGAAAAACCAACGAATGCATAACACCACTGGATTTTCAGGATACATGTTTAATGAATGAATCCAAATGAACCCAAAGATGAAGTGCACCCTCTGCTTTAATCTACAAAACCTCTATCTTGAATAAAAGAGATTATGATATTCTCCCCCTGCAAATGCTCTTTTTCTACTTGCTTTCTTCCTCTCCCTTTCCAGCAAAACCCACCTCTGGAAAGATACCCATTGACGTTAGTGTCATCCCTATCAAGTACCAGATAAAGATACCCTTTTCTAATTTAAACCAAGGTTCACACAGCATTTGGTGAATCATTCCAAGGGCATCCAAAACCAACAACAAAGAAAAATTTCTTCTGCCTGGAACTGCACTAACAATGGGAAGACTTTTACTACCAATCTGTGCCCGAGGACAAGAGATCTTTCTTCTCGGATAATACTGCAACCTTTTGACATGTAGAAAAGTCAGTACAATGGCTGAAGCTCTGAATCGAGATGCATCAAAGCCTTCATTCACCAGTACCACTATTTCTCCAGACAAACTAAAGCCTCCCAGCCTTTACAGTGCATCTCTAGGCTTCTGACTGAGCTAATCACTGGACTACCCAAGCACACAAAGAGAAGATGAAGCTGCCATATTAATGTTTCCTCTGAGAAACCTGAAACCTGTACCTGAGAACCAACCCTTTTTAACAAGCAATTGGGTCACTTTCTGTGGCAATATACAAATGAGGAACCACATTAGAATTTGAGTTTTCTTACCCAAAAAAGATCGTGGGGTCAGGCTTAAAAAATGATTCTCATTTCCTGTAACAAAAGAGAAAAGATGATGTATTACTTCCTCACAACATTATGAAAGAAACACAGAAGTTACAAAATTAGTTTGTTTTTTTTTTTAATTTGTTTTGTTTAGCACTCATTCAGCCAAGCTTGCTGGGTTTGTAATACAGGACTTATTCCTACCTTACCTGCTTGGTCACTACAACTTTTATTGCAGTTTTTGTATGTTTGCAGACTTACGGTGCTGTCTGGAGTCAGAAAGGCAGTGAACTTGATTTTCCTTTTGAAACACGCATAAAACGTCTTGTGCAGAAGTCATTTCACTTACAAAAGTATCTGCTGTCAAAACACGAATTGGGTATAACGTTAATCAGTAAGAGTATATTAGCAAGGTAAAGGTCTCCTCTGTGGTACACTTGCTAACTGAACTCTGTACACCTCATGCGTGTGCTTGCAATATGCCTACGTGCATTTATGAATGTACATTTTGTTCAGTAACTGCAGGACTGAAGATTAAATCAAAGGGAAATCAGCTGAATTTCCCACTGGTTAGCAAGGCAAATTAGCTGTGAGTGGAACACTGACTATTAAACTTTCTGAGCCCTGTTCTCATCCCACTTAACACTGGTGTAAATCAAAGAGCAAACTCTGTTACTAGACTTGTTTGAGCATCAGTTAGTGATACTTAAACAAAAATGTTCATTTAGACTTCCCCACACAGTGGTTTCACTGATGTGCTGCAAACAGTAAAGCAGCAATATTTATCACAGTAGCGTTGACTGCTTATATATAATTGAATGTTTGTCTTTTGTGACATACCAAGAAGCCTACAGCCCAGATGCTTCCCACAGAGCACTTGCTTCCTTCACTGATGACTTTAATGGGTCCCCAGGGAACCCAACCCAATTTGGTTTAACCTCTATTTGAAACGGCTGCGGCCAGTAGTCAAATAATTTGTCCCAGTCTCTCATGTAGTCATTTAAGTTAGGGATCCCTGCAATACAAACCTCATTTATTAAATTATGGGCTTCAAATTAGATCATAGGGACCTAGCTTAAGTGCTCACTGTAACAGAGTGAGCATTTGGAGTTATAGTAACGACTCTTACATCGTTGGTCTTTCCTTTGTGAGGCTTCTTGTTGAGACACTGAAAGAACTGCCACTCTTTGTCTCAGCTGCTTCCAGTACACAGAATTTTGTACACAAGTTAATTTTTCGTCACTAGTTATCTAAAGGCCAAGTTTCTTTTTGAATGGATTTAATAATGACTCATTTAATTAAAATAAAAACCACAAGATAAATGATATTAAACAGTCACATCATCTTGAGAACACCAAGTCTAGGACAAAACTCTGATCCTATCTTTCCTTTAATACATCTTCAGAGACTCAATTGTCTGAGAGATGCACTGTCCAATGGTGTCAAAAAGATAAATAACTAAAATAATAATATTTTTTTTTTAAATCAATTCTATGACCTACAATATTTAGGGTTAACATGCAAAGTATTTCAGCAGTAGTTGTAACAGCTATTCTATTTAAAGCAGGTATAGCTGACTGTTTTACTTTGTCAAGCATACAACCATTGACCATACTGTTTTCACATCAGGATATGCTAGTTGGTTTGTATTTGTCCAAATGGAACGGATATACTCATCCACTCTTGGTGGAAAGTTATTAGTTGCACAATTGCTATGTGTGTGTATATATGTAGATATATAGAGATATACACATACATATATAAATATATATATATAATATATGCAGATGGAGACTAATACAACATGGGGACTTGAAATAAGCAGTTTAATCCCATGAATCATGGATGAACACAAGTTAAGGAACAGCTTGGGTGATATATGCTAAACCAGTTTGATTTTTAAAAGGAAAAAAAAAGAAGGAAAAAAAATAACCCACAACCAAAAAAACCCCACACTGAAATCCAGGCTTATTCCAACTCTCATGTTGTACTTATGCTAACCTTTAGTTGTCCTCGCTTAATAAAATTTATATCATTTGAAGATATTTATAATTGTTTACGGACTCATTTTTAGTTGTCTGTATAAGCTGGTCATCAGTAGTGAAAATGGGAGGGATTATAGCCAGAATAACTGCATCACTCTGTTTTCAATAGGACAGCTATTCAGGAAAGTTCCATTCAACATTTGAACACTGTACTCCTTCTCTGCATCAACAAGTGACTGTATTTGATGATTTGGGGCTGAAATGAATGTAAAAACAGACGTGTATGTACATGCATGCACATCCTGTTCAGGACTGTAGAATGAGAGCATGTCTGGTGAACTCTGATGGTGAATTCAGTACAAACAAGCTGTGTTGTTACTGCCATTTCAGACAGAAATCATAACAATCTGCCCCATAACAATCTCTAACTTATCACCAAGAAATTTTTTATGTTTTTTTTTAAAGCTCGAGCAAGGAGAAAAATATTTTTGTTTGATTTTCAAAGATACTTATTTCAGCTACTTTTCCAGTTTTTTCTTTGGGCCCTAGTTGCTGAATTGCTTGCTGTTTCTGAGGTGTAAATAAACATTTTGATTTATGACGTGGTTGCAAAGAAACTTGTAATTTATTTGTGAAATGCTCAAATAAAGGATGTATGGGCTTTTACCTTTTGTCTGGGCATAGACCTTCCTGATGCAATACAGCAAGAACAGAGGACTACAAAATGACCCTGACACTGTCAAAGGCTGGAATAGCCAGAGCTAAGTACAAAAAAGCTCCCACACTGCTCTAAGCAATAGAGATGAATTGTAGCCTTCATCATCATGCCACGTTTATAGAGTGACAAACTGGAGGTCAGAGAGGTAAATAATATTTGACCACACAGGAAAGTAGCAGTAGATTATTCAGCATCTATTCAGCTAACAGTAATGCTATGCTTTGCCACACTTTGTAATAGGAGTTGCACTGAGCCAACCTGGGTCTGACATCCCTAGGCTGGACTGTGCACAGAAGCTTTAATGGATTTTTGTTGCACTTCCTTTCTGCTTCACCTGATCACCTTCCCCACCTACCACCATCATTTCAGCTTACGTAGAAGAGACATCCACAAAAAAATTCACATTGTAACCGAAACAGGCTGAACAAACATCAATCAGAGTGACCTACCTTGGGAAGCTACAGGACTACACTGCTGTCATCGTGCAGCACTCACTGCTGGCATGGCTGATTACAGGATGGCTTTTAACAGTGAGTACTGCCATAGTCTGTGGTCATGTCTGATGTGCTCAACCACTGTGCTTAAGTGCTGTGGAAGTATAGCTACACAAATACATCGTCTACTTGTTGCCTTGACTCATAAAATCTCAGTCTGCAATTTAGTGCCCTCATGCCCTTCAAACACACTCCTCCAGACCAAGCTGCCCAACTTGCACTGTCCTTCTGCACATTAGCTTGCAACTGCACGTTTTATCAGCAAGGCTTGTATCTTCAGGGTGCTGCATTCCTAGTAGCCCGACTTAAGGTTTGTAAGAAATTATTTTCATTTTTATCTGAGCTCTCATAATCTATAAGGAAGGAAGTGGGGTGCTCTGTGTGCTTTCCTGTGCTGTCAATTGATCCTAGACATTGCCAAAGGGTCCAACAGGTGAAATAATAAATAGCAGCCAGAACCCAGACCAGAATAACTAATAGAAAGCTGGGTAGAATTAAAATCTTGCAGAGAATAGTCACCATAGCTCTGTGACATTATTGTGTCTTTGTCTGGAAATTCTTTTTCTAGCACAAAAACCAGCATCAAATTTCTGAAATTCCTTGAGTTGGTGGTTTGGGTTTTTTCCCTTAGATCTTCTAAGAAGTTATCTAAAGTGACAGAGACATAGAATATCCCTGAAAAGGCTTTTTTACTGCACCTGAGAACAGAGGAAGCTGTAGGAGTGAGGCCAGCACGAGAAGGAAATATTTGAGTACAAACCACTGCAGTTTGCTTTCCCTGAGCCCCACCTCTGTGGATTCCTGCTTTGTATCTTTTGCCGATGGCCTATGGTTTATCAGACACTGAATCCAGAGGTGGTCTTTTATGTGGTTCGTAATAAGTAAAGGATGAAAAAGCGTATTTGACACTTGTGGTTTAACTGAGCAAAAGGTCATTACCTGGAAGCCACCACAGAAGAGCATCACCTCCTTTGGTGTCAGTTGAGATCATTGTCCTAAACTAATGCTGTGCCTTGTACCTCAAAAGCGGCATTTGAAATAGAACAAAGTTAAATCATAAGCAAGGAATTGTTAACAGAGAGAGAAAACGCTGAAGGTTTTTGAGTCGAGTAGAAGTTTTCCATTGCCCTTTCAACCTTTTGCCTCATCTAACACCGCACATTCTGGATTGCAGTCTTACTGTTACTCAGTAACTTTGCACAGTTCAATACAGTTCCATTTTTCTCCTGCAATAGTAAATCAGAACAGTCCCTTCTGGTTTCAGTACAACCTCCTTACCTGCAGAAACAAAGCCAGGGTCATTGCTCCTGCTGTAAAACTACCGGGATGCTCGTCCTCTGCTGCCACGCCTCTGGCCGGACTCCACTCATCCACCTCCCAGTGCATGGTGACCTTCACTGCCCCTGCAGTTACAGCAGCATGTAAGTTACTGCAGTCCTGTACACTTCACCATTATGTTACTACTTATTTCGTCTAACTTAACGTTTTCATACGCAATTGCAGGACACTCACCATCATGCTGTGGCTGGATGTACTTTTTATGATTAACTGTCCAAAACAAGGAAAGCAAAAGTATTTACAGCGCTTGTTTACTGCAGGCGTGCTGAAAATTCAGAATGAAATACTATACCCTGGAGTCTTACATTTAAAGAGCTGTTTTCAAAGTGTTCTGCAATAAGTTACAATGCTGAAGTAATTGACTTGGGATAAGGGATGTTCATAACAGCTTTTCTTGGGGTGTGTATTTATTTATTTCTAAAATTTGTCATTGTCTTTCCAAACCGAAGATGGATTTCCAATAGAAGGACATTGAACCATAGTAGACAATGCTTATGGGATGGACTAAATCTTCACGTCACTAACAGGTTTTTAAAAGTTTTCCTGTATAAATTTGGCCACTGTCCTTTACATTACTTATCTTTCTTCATGCCAGCAAACACCTGGGAACAAATTTTATATGGGGGTTATTTTTCCACTCTAGTTATCTTGTCAGCTCCACCCCTGCTGTAATTGATCTGCTAGGGACAGTGGCAAGATAATGAGGCACTTGGAAATGGCAACAAATCACAGTGCTTCTTTGTACACAAATAAATAAATGAAACATAACATCAGCTGTGTCTCATTTTTTGTGCTATTTCATCAGCTGCAGTAAAACAACAGTGCTTTAAGATACCTTCCAAGTAGCTATAAAACAAGGATTATAACCTGCCTTGGGGTTATAGCATGTGTTATTGGCTGGTACAGAGGGAGGCAGCTTTTGGTGGGATTTGAACAACCTCCCTCCATTGCCATCCCTAGTATCTACAAGACTAAGAGCTGATTTTTTTCCCCCCATTAACAGTTAAATTAATTATATAACAGTAGGATCTTTTCTTCTTTAAAAGTCATCGTGCTCTAATACACACTGAAATGCTTCCTGCATCTCCAAGTTAATTGTCATCATTTTTCATATCGAGCAAAACCAGTAGTACCTCTAGAGAGAACAGGTGCCCCAATTAACAAACATTCGGTCTTTTGTATACTGGATTGCCAAGAGGAAAAAAAAAAAATGAGATTAGAGATACTTAATTCATAAAAGGATGATAGCAAACATGACAGAGTTCACCAGTAAAGCAAAGTAGAAGCAATATATCACAGTAATTAGACTAACCCTCGTTACTAGACTGTAAGTCTAAAGGAAAGATTTAAACTTCTTGATCTGCTAAAACCCACGTGTTCAGGTTTTAGCTATTAGTTCCATTGTGTAAGAACTAGACCAGTGCTGGAAAGCCTAGCCACAGTGCCTAACAAATTTTGCCATTGCTACTAATGGTAAAAAACATGAATTTGAAGATGGCTTGCTTTTGGATCCTGCATAAAGAAGCTGAAACAATAACATCTCTAGAGAGTAATCTTTTCTTTGTGCTGAACAAAAGTCCTACATGCTCAGTGCTGCCAAAGGCTCAGTGCAGCTGCTCACCACCGCATTGGCAGGGCTGGCTGCAGGATTTGTACCTATGTGTATCCATCATGCTGCATTCTTTCGCATTTTTACCTCTATCAGATCACAAAGCACCCTCTTCTCACTCTGTTTTGGTGGTAGGGACAGCAAATATAAGGGTAGAAATACAGAATTACTTAGAGGGCTCTGCTGAAAACCATGCTGGGAGCAGAGCTGGTTGGAAACTCAGCCTCCTGGCCAGCACAGAGGCCTGAGAGCCAGGCTGCAGAGGCAGCTCGTGCCAGAGCCTCACACAGGCTGGAAGCTGAACCCTCCAAAGCAGGGACCAAAGCCTCCGCCAGTACAGGGCCATGACAAACTTACTTCTAACTGTAGTTGCTGTCATCATTTACACAACCTGGGGGCTGCAGTGCTTTCTTGCATTCACATTTTCTGCTCCTTGGGACTGTGTACTATTTTCTTCAGCAAATGAGCACTGAGTACATGAAGCTAATGAAAATGCGTGCTGTTTTTAGCTCTGTCTTCTGGGGTTGACTGGGCACAATGCAAGACTTACTTTCTTCACGTAATGGATTTAAAAAGAAGTCCTCTTGTTGCTGCATCTCCTCATTGTCTTTGCCCTGCTTAGATGGAATAAGGGAGAGAAAGGCAGTATGTACATTAAATGTCATACAGCTCACTTATAACAAAGAGAAATACATAAAAAGACTAGTTAGTGTCCAAATCAAGCTATTAAAAATTTCCATATATATACATATAAACACTCACATATATATTATATATTCTCATATACAAATATAGATGCTAAGGGGAGGAACTTCATCGCCCTCACACACAAAAGAATTGTCTATTTTTCGAATCTGTTATTAATAAGTGAGTACTCATTAAGAAGTTCAGTTCGTTGGGAAAAAATGTACTAGGATGCAATTAAACCTACTACAGACTAATTAATATGGGAATTGGGGTGGTTCAAAAATCAATTAAAGAGATGGAAGTGGGGACAGTAGGCAGCACAAACCTATACGTGTCACCTTCATTAGTCCAACAGATGGATGTCCCTGCTACACTGAGGTTTTGCTGAGGGCACTTTTGTTTATTTGTTTGTTTTGAAAGGAAATTTGGAAAAAACATTTTCTAATACGGGTCTTCACAAAATCTGGAAAAATACTGTCTAAAAGGAAATAATGGCAGTATTAGATTTAGACATTATTTATTCCCCTAACAAATTTAGTTGTCATTTGGTTTCTGGAGACCCCACCCTTGGCTCCTTGCATCTTTCATTTAAGCAAACAAGTTTGAAACACTCAAAAGACCATAAAGCTTAACAGAGAATTCTCAGGATGTTTAGTTCCCCCGTCATGTAGTATATCTTCCTATAGGAGATCCCACTTAGTTGGCTCTTACCAAAGGCTGTTGATTCAAGAACTGTTCTTACGAGCTGTCCAATTTCTTGCAAGTCAGAAGACATTTAGCAGTTATACTCCAGACTTCTATGAATTGTATCTTGTTACCC